AGAGTGGGGCAGACGCTGCAGAAATGCCAGGAGTTTGCAGAGGAGGCTGCGTTCATGCCTCTGGTCTAGGGAGAGGCAAGTGGAAGGCCCCAGTGCCACTGCCTTCTGGAGGAGGGCCCCCAGCAAACCCCTGCCGTGTGGCTCTCCTGCCAGGCAGTGTGCTTCCGACACTCCTGGCTCTGCCCAGGTGCCGCCTGCCTCAACCCCTGCCCTGTCTTCCTCTCTCAGTTCTGGGCATATTGTGGTTGGAAACCCAGTTGCTGGCCTACAAACAGGGCTGGTCTTTGAAAGCAAACATATGTTTCTTGTGAGGTCCTGCAAACAAGGGCGAACACATGCCTTCCAGCCTGCTGCCCCAAACAAGGCCCGTCAGTCATTTAGGTGCCCAGCTCCCCTTCCAGGTACAGGCGTGTTGAGCTTGGAAGAGGTAGTCCCTGCCAGGTGGGAAGGCGTGAACTCTGCGCTTCTTGAAAGGCTGGCACTAAGTGGCACTGCCCCACCTGCCCCAGGGCTCATTTAGGGCTGGGAAGGAGCAGTTGTCTTTTCTGAGCAGAGGCATTTGTGGAAAAGGAAAATGATTAGCCTGGGATCGTGGGGTTGCCTTTTCAGCGGTGTGACTATGGACAGCGTCATTTCTGAGTTTCAGCATCCTCCTTTGTAAAAAAGGAACACGAGCTAAGAGTCTTTATGTGTCTTCAGGTTCGGGTAGGCTGGTGGTTCCCGGAGGGGTCCCTCTTGTCTCGGTCCTACCGCTAAAAGTCCCTGTGACTTTGGGAACATTTCTGTGCAGCAAAGCTAGAGACCTAACTTGCTAGCAAGGGATCCTGATAAGGGTCAGCTATACTCCTGGCAGTAAGGAATGCCCCAGGAAAATGGCCATTTACAGCTTCATGGTGGGGGTGCCTGAGTGGTTCGGTCGGTTAAGCATCCGACTCTTGATTTGGACTCAGATCACGATCTCTCGCTTTATGAGTTTGAGCCCCACACTAGGTTCCGCACTGTTCTGCCTGCTTGGGATTCTCTCTCTCTCTCTCTCTCTCTCTCTTTCTCTCTCTCTCTCTCTCCCTGAAGAGTCTGTGCCCATCTCCCAGAACTTCAGCCCAAGATAGGACTGAGAGACATTGTCCTTGCTCTGAAATCATCCCCACATCACCCAGAATTGTCACCTCACAGGACCTGGGGTGGATGGAACCCTGGGCTATCACTGAACATTGCTTTTCACTCCTGGCCTTTCCTCTCAGAGGGCTGGAAAACAGGGCCCCTTCCAAGTCAAACAAAAGCTAATTGGTCCTGGTACACAAGCATGGGCATAAAGGGAGTAGTGTTTCCTGATTCCAGCCTTCACTGATTAGACAGCATCCAGACAGTATGCTTCCTCCGGGAAGGGGCCCAGCCTTGCTTGCTCATTAGTGACTTTGCCCTTGGCTCTGATGAACACTCAAGGGGTGAGCCACAGTGAGGAGAGGTGCCATGGACATTGTTGTCCTCACAAATCTCAGAAAATGGAGCCTTCCTTACCTGGGAGCCTAGAGCTTGAACTCAGCCTGAGTCAGCAGGGTCTTCTAGAACCTTCCTAGGGAGCTCTATGCAGACTGTCCAGGCTCGTTGTATGTTCCCATCCTTGCTTCTCCCATCTTGAAAGTGAAAGTGGAAAGCTCTGACCCTTAGCTAAGAAAGACCAGCCCAAGAGAAAATCATGGAGAGAGAGGCAGGGCAAGAGAGTCTGTGATTTGGGATGGTGGGAGGAGAAAGGGTTATTTGTGACCATGAACGTGTTTCTTTCGCAGGGAATGTGAACTTTAGATTCTCCGGCCAGGCTCTCTTATTGAGAGACTTGCTGGAGTGACTTTGTTAGTGATCAACAGGGAAGGACTTGAGAGAGGAAATGACTTTGTTTTCAAAATGATTTCAAATATTTCTTTCCATCAATATGGGTTTTCTTCATGAAAACTAGTTTACTCATTTTTAATAATGTTTTTTATGATTGTTAGTTAGGACATACTCACTAGAAAACATTTAGGAAATTCATTGCCCATAACTGGAAGAATGTGCTTCTAGGTTCTTAATTGTCATTTCCCCAACAAGGCTTGTTGATTTCTAGAAAGACTCGGTATTTACAATGGGCCATCTGCACAGGGGTTTGTTTTGCAGTTGGAAGCCGTCCCTGAAGGGAAAGAAATCTTATCCCCTCTAATGTGGGTCTCCAGGTGACGGTGGAGGATGGGAACAAGCCTCCATAGAGGCCCAAGTCCAGATGACGAGTCAGGGCAACATGGCTGGACTATGGGCTTAGAACTTAATCTGAGAAACTTCTGGAAGCTCCAGGACTTGGAACCAGATACCTACATTCATAGAGGTTTCCTGCAGCCTCAGCACATACCACTGGCAGTGGCCTGTGAACATATGCGGCCAGCCCCAGGCCCTGTGAGGAAGGTGAGGGTCTGAGGCACTCTCTGACCCCCCTCAGAGAGGCTCTCGGGGCTGACCTCTGGTCAGTGAAGCACCAGCAACCTCTGCATCACCTGTTGGCCTGGTCCCCAGAGCCTGTGGCCTTGGGTATGTCAGCCAAATTCAGAAATGAGATTGAGCTCCAAATGCTGCTCCTGGAAACTCGAGCCTGTAGAATCTGAGGCAAAAGTGAAAGGGGCCTTAGGGATCAGAGGCCTCATATTCGAGTCGGGCCTGCCCCTGACGCCCTGAGAACCTCTCTCCCCTCGCTGTTGGAATGCAGTCAGTAATGTCCCTGTGTCTCTAGGAGCCGAGGTGGGGAGTGTAAGAGGGCTCTGCCATCCTCATGGTGCTGTGGCAGGTGAGGAATTGGCAATCCCACCCCGTTAGGCCGTTTCACACGGGGCCAGAGCCCCTCACGTGAGCTTCGTTTGGTAGAAGCTTAGCTGGCTTGCTCCTGGACCTGAAGTTAACCATTTGGAAGAAATATGGTAAAATGGACAAAGTTGCTAGACTGCATTCCACTCCCCCCGCGATCCCATCACTGTAGGCTTTTGTGGCTAGAAGGGCTGCAGCATCTCCGTTTGCTCTAGAAGCTTATTTTTGCCAAGGTTGTTATCATCAAGCAGGCGCCAGACCTCTGTTCCACTCATAGTCCAATTATGGCAAAATTCAAACAATAGACCTGTTATTCCACTTGTAAGAATGTCCAAGGGGAGCGCTTTCCCCTCACCAGGATCAAACTCTCGGTGCCCTTTGTGATATGCGAGACCTCAAGGAAGGGCTCTCCATTCCCAGACATGCAGAAATGTGTGGGAACTGGAAAATGGATCGCTGCAGCCACTGTGGGCCGGGACCCTGGTTTTCTTTCCACTGCGCCGTCCGCTTCACCACACAGATCCTGCCCTGTGAGTGGTCGGGGGAGTGACCTCTGGCAGGCCCGGGGGTGGTATTTCCAGGCTGGGGGCAGACTTGGTTTTCCCTGACGCGTTCCCCATCCTGAGGACTCTGAGGGGAAGGAGTGGGGCTAGTAAGAATAGGGGGGATGTAGTCTGATGTGGAATGCTCCCCTGCCCCTTGCCCATGACACAGGGCCTGCCATCTATCTTCCTTCCTGCCAGCCGTGGGCTCCACTGCTGACTGTGCATCTGGGGACATGGAGCCTGGGCCCTCTCCGCCTCCCTCTTCTGCCCACCCCTACAGCGCGCACGGGAACTTGCACAGGCACTTCAGGGGGTTGGAGAACAGAGTGGCCAGCACTCTAACCCTGTCACCCACAAGGAGGTGTCTGGATCTGTCTTCCCTTCTCCAAATGGAAGCATTTGGATAGAGGACCTAGAAGGGTCCCTCTGGCTCTAACACCCCATGAACCGTAGGCCTAGATCAGATTTCTGAACCCGCCTTGAGAAAAACGGACACCTAGGTGATGTTCTCTCTAAAATAGCCATAATTCTACCTGGCCATTCTGTAGCCACTTTTCATCCTAAGCCATGCACTTGTGCCCAGAGCTGTTTCAAGCCTCCAACCCCTGTCCACCCTTTCAGAAGTGCTAGGCTTGGGGCCTCAATAAATGAGGCTTGTTCTAAAGTAGAAAACGATTTCGTTTCAGCCTGCAGTTAGCTTCCTACCTCTTCACCAGATTCAGAAGCACTCCTCCCCACTTCTCTCCTCTCCTTTTCAAGGTCACAGTCAAAGACAAGGGGTTAGAAGGTTCTACCTGGGGCGCCTGGGTGGCTCAGTTGGTTAAGGGTCTGGCTCTTGATTTTGGCTCAGGTCACAATCTCTCAGTTTTGGGAGTTCGAGCCCCACATTAGACTCCATGCTGACAGTGCAGAGCCTGCTTGGCATCCCCCTTTCTCTCTCTCTCTCTGTCTCTCTCTCTCTCTCTCTCTCTCTCTGCTCCTCCCCTCATGGAGAGAGACACTCATGTTGTCTCTGTCTCTCTCTCAAAATAAATAAATAAATAAAAAAGGAAAGGAAGGAAGGGAAGAAAGGAAGGAAAGAAAGAAAAGAAAGAAAGAAAGAAAGAAAGAAAGAAAGAAAGAAAGCAAGCAAGCAAGCAAACAAGGTATCTCTATCTGGGTCATTTCTGTCTTAAGAAGTGGACTTCAGAGACAGATGCCTGGGTTTATTTAGTCCCTGGTTCTGCAGCGGCTTACTAGCTGTGTGACTTTGGGCAAGCTATAGAGCTCTCTGTGCATCAGTTTCCTCAGCTGTGAAGTACCATACCATCCCACAGAGCGCCTATGGTGGGGAGTAAATAAGCTGATTTCATGCAGTGCCTGCTGCTTGCTAAGTCCTATACAAACGCTCGTGATGACGTCATCCTGGAGTAGCAGAGGCTGATGGGAAGACCACGAGGCTTGCAGTAAGGAGAGTGCACCGCACGATGCTGATTCTGAACCTCAGACTTGCCCAGTTTTTGTAGCTGTGAAACTGGAGTGAAAATGGCCTCTCCCTCCAGGCTGGTTGTGAAGCCCCAGGAAAAGAGGGCCGGCAGACTGTTTCACCCACCCAAACCGGGTTAAATCTGCTCTCTTTCCCCTTCCCAGGCACACGTTCTGGCAGTTCCGCCATGAGAACCCCAAGACCCGGGTTGGGAGCCCGCCCCCCGAGGGGCTCCCCGGCTTCAACAGCGGAGTGATGCTGCTGAACCTGGAGGCCATGCGCCAGTCCCCCCTCTACGGCCGCCTGCTGGAACCCTTGCAGGTGCAGCAGCTGGCTGACAAGTACCACTTCCGCGGCCACCTCGGGGACCAGGACTTCTTCACCATGATTGGCATGGAGCACCCCGAGCTCTTCCACGTGCTGGACTGCACCTGGAACCGGCAGCTTTGCACCTGGTGGAGGGACCACGGCTACAGTGACGTCTTTGAAGCCTACTTCCGGTGTGAGGGCCACGTCAAGATCTACCATGGGAACTGCAACACCCCTATCCCGGAGGCCTAGGTACATTCTCGTCCGCCATGCCCTCAGATCTCTGGATCTCCTGGAAGCAAAGGGGCGCCTCTGTTACAGGCCCCATGGTGGCATCTGACCCTCCGTGGGGATGTCCTTTGTGATGACAGCTGCAGCTGTCCCACCCCACAGGTTGTTGTCCTGAGGCCACCCGGTGAGGCCTGGCCTACACATTGCTGGTGCTTGGGCCTTTTCTCTCCAGGGTACCAGGCATCGTGGAGGGCAAACACATAGACATCTTCCGTTGGGCTAGGAAGCGGGCATTTAAAGAGAAGAAAGGAAAGAAAATGGCGCTCTGTGCCCTTAGCCCCCAAAGAATGGAAATGCCTGGCCTTTTTTAGACCAAATATAAATTTATTTTACATTAACAAGCTTCCATTTTGCAGGAAAGAACAAAACAGTATTGCTGTAGATCCCAGGGAGCTCTGAACGAGTGAGCCAGGGTTTTAACAGCCAGCCCAGAGTTTAAGCATCCAAATCAACATCAGCCTTCCACATGTGCACCCTGGGAGGCTGTGTGCTTGTTCCTGCGATGCCCACATTACCTCGTATAGGTTTAAAGGTCACCACCTCTGCGGGGAGAGAGCCTTTATGGCCAGCAGTGGCCCACATGAGAAAACTGGGCTCATTATTTCAGCCTCCACAGCTTTTCTCTCCCAACTACATCACAGAACCTCATTATCCCTTATTCATCCAAGCCGGCTTCAGGTGACCAGACTGTGCTCAGAAATCAGATCCGCCATCAAAGAACAGAGCTTGGCCACCCCCAAGGACACGCAGTAGAGTTGTCTGGACGGGAAAAACTCATTCCAAAGAGGAGCCCAGCAGTGTATGTGCATAAACGTGTGTCCCGGAAGGGGTGCCGCTCATAGGCTGATAAGCATTCAGTCTCTGTTTAAAAAAATCATCCTGTGACTTTCTTATTGTATCATATCAGATCCTGTACCTTAGAAAAAATTAGGCTCTTCTCTGAATGAGTTCCCTTGTAAGATGCAGACATGAAGCCCCTGGTGGTCCATTTTGTCTACTCTAGCAGAGGTCCTCGGGATGGGGGAACTGCTGTTAGATTTTCATCTCCTTTTATTTCAATTTCATTTACTTTTTTATTTCTTTTCACCATGAGTGAGAACAGCTAATAAATCATTTGAGAACACAATGATTATGCTGTTTGTTCTCTGATCACAGCTTACTGCTACCTGAAGTTTCCGAATCAAGAGTGTAATCAGTGTCATTCAGAGCCGCCGTCCCCCCCCCCCCCCCCCCCCCCCCCCCCCCCCCCCCCCCCCCGCCCAAGTCCACATGATTAAGCTAAGCGTGCTCACTGTGGACTGCAGACCATGGACCACGGGGGAGCGTGTCTGAGTCGGGAGCAGGGAGGGTAACAGTGCTGTGTCACTCGAGAACCATTGCATTCTGGGTATAGGCGGGCCCGTCTGCTCCCGGGAGCAAAGGCAGTCCCTTCCCTTCTCACCTTTCCTAGCCCAGACTGCCCGGTTACATCATCCCCTGACGAAGTGGAGCGTGTCCCTCTCCTGACTCTGCTCTGACAGAACTGGTCTGTTCTCTTAGGTACTCGACTTCCTATTTATAGCTACTAGTTATTGAATGCCTGCTGTGTGCATCGTATTGGGGGATTTATGTATGCTCTTGATAATACTCGTGAAAACCTCATGAAGGCAATTCAAATTCTAAAATTTATTGTAAGAAAATAGCAAGGGATGTGGACAGAGAGTCATTATTTATCACACTGAGTTTTTTTAATAGAGAACAACCGGGAGCAACCTCCAGTGTTGACTAGGGGAGTGGATAAATAATGTATGCTATATCCAAGGAATAAAATAATGTGGGCATTAAAATCATATCTTTAAAGAATATCTAATGCCTTGGGAAATGCTTACAATGTACTGTTAAGAATGCAAAATATAAGATTATATGTACAGTGTGATCCTCATTTTAATTGTAAGATTACATATGTGTGTGTATGTGTACATGTAAAAAGAGAACCTGTTCTGCTATATTTAATTAAAACCCATATGTTTCAAACACCACATTAAAAAAAATTATTTCAATGGGAAAAAGATAAAATGCTAAAGAATTTTAGACTCAGAATAACAAAGGTATTTTTCCTACGTCAATTTCAATAATTCACATGTTTCTGTAGCCATGAGAGTCTTCTGTTATTGCAAAGAAAAAGTAAACTGGTTGATCAAAATGGGCAAAGGCCAAGCCAAATCTCCTCCTTTACTTTTGAGCTCACCTACTCAGGAGCTCCCCCTTCCTCTGTCACCAGTGGCCTTGGTGAACAGCAAAATAACACCCAGCGGGAAGTCCAGCCAGCCCAGCAGAGCCAACGGGCGTTCCTGTGCTGTACGATGAGCCACTTTTGGGCAGATCTTGGAGGGCCGGTTCATCACTGGAATCCTGTTATCATCATTGCAGTACAGACATAACCAATTGTGCTGTGGTTAATTTGTGTGATGAAAACTTTCACTGCAGAGCATATGTATGCCTATAGGAAGGAGTAAAACAGAAGACTGAAAAGAACATTTCTGGGAACTAGGAAGGATTAAGGTGCTTTTTATCTTCATCTTTATTTATTTCTGTATTTCTGAACGTTGATTACTTTTGTAATAAACAATAAATGCTATTAAATTGTAGCCGCTGCCACAGGTAATTACAGGTAAGTGTCGCCCTGACTATTCTACTCCTGGTTGGCCCTGGTTACCATTGACCGTAAGAAAACATAATCTCGGCTAAGTAGGCTCTGGGTTTTCAACTTTCCCTATGGATGCCCTACTTCTCTAAATAAAAGTGACCTAATAATAGCATCTCCAGCCTCTGCTTTCATTTCTGATTCTATTATCTTTTGGCCTTTGGAAAGCTCGTGGGCTTGTGGAAGAGATTTATTCTTACATGTGTGTCAAAGCCTCGCTACAGCATCCCCTTCAATAGCATCTCATCAACCCAAAGAGCAGCGTGCTGGGTCAGTGGGCCCCCAGCCAGAGTGCACCAGGAGTTTGCGGGCTAAGGGAGCAAGTTAGCTGTGCCGCAGCCCCTGCTTTGACTAAAGGCCAAACCCTTGCTCATTCTAAGACTTCCTGGCTCGTGTCCACATGCAGGGCCCAGAAGTTTGGCTGAAGGTGGAGTTTGGCAGGGCAAGCAGAAATTTCCAAGCAGGCAGGGTGATACGGTAGAGAGAGCCTCACACCTAAGGCAGAGGCCTGGCTTTGAATCCATGTTGTGTTCTCACCACCTGGGCAGTCTGGGACGTCCAAGTTCACCTCTTTCCCCACTTTGAGACACTGGTAACAAGAGCTCCCTCAAAGTAGTGTTGTAGGAGGAAAGTTGATGGTAAGGTCTTGGCAAGCAGATAAATAATACGTAGATGCAAGGGGATTCTTACCACTTAAAATATCCTTTTAAAATAACAAATGACAGCCATTTGGGGCACGTTAAATGTGTTGGTGGCACCTCCCTCAGCCCCGTGGGTGACCAGACTCTTGTTTGTAGGCGGTCTGATATTTTTGTTGGCCATACCACTCTGGAAAGGCCCGTGATCAGGAAGTCAGGGGTCCTTGGATAAACCCTTCCCAACTGGGCTACAAGGGGCTACGGGATTGGACTAGATCTCCAAGCAGCCTCCCTGCCCCCAGCACACATTTGTATGCATCCGTCTCTGTTCACACGTGCATGTGGCAGGGAATCTAAATCAAACACAAGACCTCCAGATCTCATCATTTGCCAACTTGGAATTTATGACCATTCAAAGGGAGACTCACTCGCAAGGTATAGTTAGTGCAACTTACCCCGGAGTCTGAACAGGCAAAGTGAGGGATGCAGACAAACTATGGGAGGTATTTAAGTCCAGAGAAACTCATTGCCATCCACGAGCCCCATGCCTCTGCCTACAGCCCCCTGGTAGCAATGACAGCTGAAGCCTTGTCTTAGCTTTTGTCTTATTTGTCTCCCAAAGAGCCCCCCAGACAGAGCCACTTTGTAGATGGTCCCATGCCCCCACAGGCCTCACCCTGGGCAGTACTGAGTCTGGAGCCCCCAGCCGGGAGGCCTGGTGGAGCTGCCACTCCCTGAGGTACTTGCAAAGGCCAAAAAACCTTCTGGAGTGAAGGCTTCTTTAACTGGGGCTGGCTGTGCTCCCAGAGTGTCTCCAGGTGTACCCCCAGTCTGTTGGAAATGTGTCCGCCCCCTACAGACAGCAACTGAGTGCCATGCATTCTTTTTTTTAAATTTTTTTTTTTCAACGTTTATTTATTTTTGGGACAGAGAGAGACAGAGCATGAACGGGGGAGGAGCAGAGAGAGAGGGAGACACAGAATCGGAAACAGGCTCCAGGCTCTGAGCCATCAGCCCAGAGCCCGATGCGGGGCTCGAACTCACGGACCGCGAGATCGTGACCTGGCTGAAGTCGGACGCTTAACCGACTGCGCCACCCAGGCGCCCCATGAGTGCCATGCATTCTTAGCTGGAAGGGCCTTTGCACGCCTTCCCTGACAGGTAGGATTTGCTGCGATTGTCCCCTCTCCTGGCCCCACGCCCTGAGCAGGACCACAGGAGCAGGGAGCCGGGGGTGTTTCTGGGCCTGTGCGGAGCCAGTGGCCTCACCTCCCTGACAGGGCCTTGCAGACAGCAGAGACCTGGGTGTCTGTGGAAGAAGCAAGATGCTCCCACTCAACCCTCTTCCTTCCTCCTGTTTCACTCTGGGCAGCTTCCAGAACATGCAGAGAAGCCCCAGTCTCAGCTAGAGAGTCTCCACCAGTTTCTGTACTGACTTGTGAGTCCCTTGAGGGCAGGAACTGTGCCATCACCTCTGCCTGTCCCCCAGTACCCACTGAGGTGGGGCATACAGGTCCCCCAGGTGCAGAGAGCCTGGTCTGTCCAGTGTGGATTGTGAGTGAGGCCGGAAGTTCTCAATATGTGCCTTCCACCTGCTCCGCCATGTCCTCCTCACCATCACTTCCCACCTCAGGCATAGAGGGTGGGTTCATGACACCCCGCAGCACGTGACCTATTCCCACCACTGCTGCCTACGAGGCCTGTCGTTTCATTTATTCCCATGTATCACCGTCTCCTACCCCCAGTCCCTGATAGACATCCTCATGTGTTTTCTGTGTGTCTTCTGTGTTCGTGCAAAATGGTGTTACTGTTTTGTATACATGTGTTTTAATTTGGGTAACTTGGGATTCTCTTGCTCTTTCTTTTCCACTCGGCGCTAAGATTCTAAGATCCATCCTCCTTATCATGTACACACATGAGGGCTGCCTGCGGCCCCACACGTGTTCTCACCAGGTTACCCAACGTCGTCCACACTGACGGGCACCCACATGACCCCCCCCCACCTGCCTCCTCACTCCACCCCAGCCCCACACAAAGGACCCCGCTGTGAGCAACTTTGTCCTATTCCTTGTGGACCTGGTAGGCATTGCCTTGTGTGGTATATCCAGGAATAACGCTGCTGGACCGTAAGGTGCACACATACCCATGTTTCTGCCTGAGTGGGGCCCAGAGCGCCCTCCCCACTCTCATCAGTATGAGGCCTCACTTCGTCTGCATGACTGTGCTCATGTTCACATCTCTGTGCGTGGACACACACGTGGACCCGTGATCCTATGGGGGTCCTCCAAAACATGTGGCTGAGTTGGGGCTGCTCTCTGTGTGAGTGGTACGACATTGGCGTTGGCCAGTGGGGGGGTGTGTCTGTGAAGTGGAGAGAGGTCAGTCGGCTCCGGGCCTTCTGGCCCCCAAGGACGGCTATGAGCAGTAGATGAGATAACCCACAGAGGAAAGTCCTTCCGAGACCCTAGACACCCTCCCTCCCTTGCGTGTTAGCTGGTCCCCAGTCCCATGCTGTGTCATGGGAGGCTTTGTGGCCAGCCTGAGCCCTGCTGTCTGGGATCGCACCCAGGCTTCCCCACGTGTAGAATCCTGTGCTCCTCCATGAAGGCATCTGGCACTCTCTCTGGAGTCTTCCTCTCCCACACCTCTAACCCTCGTCCAGCCCGGGCCTGGCACTTCCCAATGCACAGGATGGCACAGGGCCAGGGGCCGGGGACATGCAGAGT